GACGACAAAGTGGAGGGTTTGCAGCCTTCCCACTTTTCCTCTTTTCACCTTACTGAACTCGATACGTTGTCCTTCAGTATAAACATTAGCATCAARCATAGTTGTCTGTGCCATTAATCATGAAAATAGCTGAAAAGATCTTTKGTTCTCTTGCGATCAAAAATCCTTTGATTCCTCTAGCTGAAGCTGCATTTCTTTTACCTGCAAGGGATCTATACCATTCAAGACGGCGCAGGGAACAACTGTGTGAAWSACTATTTGACATACCTTAGTCAGTATTGAGCGATCTTTGTTAGGGTAGTCGATGACATGGCTTAAGTGAAAACGCTTAAGAAGCCATGATGGGAGAGCATTTTCAAGATCAATCAATAGCTCCACCTATGATAGCGAGGTAAATGCGCACATTATAAATTATAACGATAACAACGGATAATTGATTACTGAATTCTTGTATGTGATCAATTTGAAATACCTGCATGATGTATCGATCAATTAAAGCATTTCTCTCGATTTTATCAATRTCGCCGACAGCCAAACCAACCTACGAGCAAACACGCAAAAGAGAGTTACACTTTCAGGTTACAACAACGCTGCACGAAAGCACCTTCATTCAAATAGAAAATTATACAGCTAGCACTACTATATGATAACAATACTTCATTATTCCAACCTCAACCAACGACACCCTTTCTCACAAGAATATCTCAGCATCCGCGTTTATTTTCATTTAATTATTTTCAAAGTTCTATTAATTTTTTTCAAAGTTCAGCAGTCAACCTTCTCTTGTATGATAAAACCCCTATAATGTTTTATATCATGMTAAGCCTCATCCAATAATTTTATTTCTTACCAACATGTTCATCATGATGATAGGCATAGTAAGACAGAACATCACCATCAACGCGTTGACTATGTAAGGGTAGTATAACTCACTCCATGGCATAAACACATCAGTGTAATTCATCTCTCCCAGTGTCATTATAAACACATTCATAAGAATATTTGGCATTGAAGTAAAGGGGTCCTAGATAATCAAAATGTTTTAAGTTCGTATTAGTTATTAGTTATTTTTGGCAAATTAGTAAAAATTACTAATCTTTTACTTCCTTTTTTTAATGCACCCGCCAAGAATAGCTCTAGCTAATTGCAGGTATAGCAAAATATTTACTTTGTAGTTTTAACTAATAAGTGTAATGAAGTATTTTTGATGTTTATATAAGTTAGCTAATTAAGTGTCCACGATGCAGTCTACCTAATTTATGTGAATTTTAAAGACTTTAAAATCATTTCATATAAACTGCAAAACTTCATACAATGTTGTTGTTGCCGTTATTGTCAGTTATTGTTGTTGTCAGATCACTGCTGCTATGAAGTTACTACTATAGAGAGTTTCTATGGTAGGTATTGTAAATATTGTTGTCTGTTGTTGCTGTCGCTGTTATGGAGTTACTGCTGTATCAAGTAATTGTTATGGGAGTTTGTTGTGTGGTGCCACTCCTATTATCAACACTAACCTTGTCCATAATAATATGAAATGTTGACGCAAATGCGATGACGAAGAACATAAACAGCACCAAAACCTGACAACAAAGTGTTTTGATAATGAGTTAAATACAACTTTTCAATTGTCAGAAAATACACACTGCAATTTCAGTATATATGGTTTGATTAACAAACTTACTTTGAGCAAAGTTGTGAACATACAGTACAACATGATAACGTATTTCCCATAGAATGGAAGCCTAAAGAATATGATGAAATAGAGATTTATGAATAGATTGATTGATGGATTGCTCAATTGATTGACTTGATTGGCTGCTGATTGATTGCGCACTGTATTGATTGATTGATGGATGAGTGGATGGATGGATTGGTCGGTCGGTCGGTCAGGGGGATTGGTTGTTTGGTTGCTGGTTGGTTGGTTGGTTTGCCGGTTTTCAGCTCATGCATTWAGCCGTTATTGACGAATGACAAGTAYCACCGAAATCCTTTGATCTTAATCCCTATTATCATACACACTGATGCATCTACCTTCGGAAGTACAAAATCAGATTGATCCAGCACACAAATATCGCAAAGGCTGCAAATTCCTTCTGGAGACCCCACTTGCACTCGCATGGTGGTATAACAGAGACTAACGCTGTCACAACGCCAATGATATCAAGCCAACTACTTACAGACGCAAAGTAACGCATTCTCTAAGAATAGTAAAAAAAAATCGTTTAATGACCTTTTTAAGACCCGACTTTGTCAACGGCACGTGACGTAAATGATCTCAAATAATATAAAGTCAATAGCCTCTTTAAGAATGAAATATATTTCAAATTTTAATTTGGCCTTTTSCGACCAATGAGATTCCCGCRGTATCTCCCTGCTGAAAAATGAATCGTTAATATATATCTGATGGGTCAAAAGAGGGAGACAGGAAGCCCTAGAATAA